GCCACCAAAGTTACATTGTGTCTTCCTAAGCAAAGGTGCTTTGGTTCTGTCAGTAGGAAGCTTACATCTTTCAATGAAGTTTACTGAGTGATGCTATTTGCTATGCAGAGCATCAACAAGTGGCAATGCCATTCTAAATTATTATTGTGATTGAAAATTGTTTTGTGTTCATGAGTGTTTAAATGCATATATGTATGCTGATTTATATTTTGTTAGCTGTTTGAGTATTTCCCTGAACTAGAAAAGCAGGACGAGAATATTTTGAAATAAATGAAAACAAATAATAAGTTTTGAGAGCAAAGGTCAAACTATATTATCTGTGCAAAGGCAACAAACTCCTGTAATGCACTGAAGGTACAACTGCATTTAAATTGTGTACCCAGCAAAGCCAGATATTTTAGTGCCTGTGTGTTGCCAACATTGTTGGATAGATTACTGAACTAGGTAGATCTTATGTTCTTCCAATAAAGATTAATGAAGATTTTTTACCTGCACTCAGAATCACCTAGTACACCCAGTAAGCCATGCAAAATTAAAGTCTGCATACCCTGTTCTAAAGGTCTACATAATGCAGTACTCAAGATAATTCCAGTAACTCTTAATTTTGAGAGTTGGTATAATGCAATTGCTAAGACTGCAAGGAATTCAAATGTAACATCAGTCAAAAATTCACTAAAAGTATAATTCTATGCATGCTTAAACAGTCAAAGGTTCAACAACTCCCAGCATTCTCCAGCTAGGACTTTTTCTGTCTAAACATGCACAGTGACCTCAGGCAAAGAATACTCAACTCCCCATCTACAACATGAAAATGCCAGTCTAACTGATAGGGCTACAGTAAAGATCAGCGAAAATGTATGCGATGTCCTTTCACCATTCAATGAGTGCTATATGTAAGAAGTCAACACATTTTGTCATTTCTCACAAATAAATAGCTTTATTTCTTTAAGTAAAAAGGCATCAAAGCCACCTCCGTCTTTCAAACCATCCAGTTTCTCATATGTTAGATGCAAAACCAGTTTCTTCTATGGGTACCGATTTATCAGATACAAACATTTGTCTCTTTGTATTTCTGTTCTACATAGGGATTTCTAGAGTTTTATTGCCACCCCAGATGCATCAACACTTAAAATTTAAGCAGCAGACTCTCAAAATATTCTAACTGAGGCTGCCATTCTGTGCTTTCTTCCTGAACACACTGGGACTTATTTCAGATTAAACATGCACAAGATTGTGCTATGGGGGAGAGATTTAAGTAAGGTTTGGACCAAAAGATCATTTCCCTTTCAGGAACCTCTCCACCAAATCTCAGACTTCTGAGCCCATTACTACATGCTTACAAAACCAAAAAAAGTGGTGGATTTAACACAGTGCAGTGAATACAAATTGTATCTGCAATGTATGTGAGATATTGCCCCTTTGATAACACTATCCCTACAGACAGTATTGTTATGTTCTAACATGCTTATCTATATCTAATTTGTATCATTCTTATAGCCTACAAGGTACAAAATCTCTGGGCCATGATGCATCCCAAACCAGCCCACAAAACTTCTCTGGAAGAAACTCCTTGAAAAGTATCCCCCACTGTTATCTTCAATCTGAGATAAGAGGCTACAGTACATAAGTGGGGTGGCAGGACTTGCTCAAGCTGGGAAAAGCCCAGATCATCTAAGTCTGGTCACACCACATCCCCAGTGCTATCAGCAATTGGAGACAAGCGCAGGAGTTGCAGACCAGTGGGAATGATCTATCCTGGAAAGAGCTGAGCCCTGCAGCACCAGATCACAGATGCAAGGTGGCAGGACTGGGCAGTGTCCCAGCAGTAGCATGCCCACAGTATTCTCCAATGACAGAGTGGAATCCCACTAGCTTCTCAGTTAATCTGAAAGTGGAGAATGGGAATGCAGAACAGTCTGACATGGCTTGTGCCAGGAAGAATGACCTGTCTTTCTGGCATGGCCTGAACACCTTTGTATAGCATACAGTGTCCAAAGTGGTACTAGAAATTACACAAAGCTAGGGATTCCACCCACTCCAGGACGGGCAGCTGCTCCTTGAACACTGACCACATTCCTTTCTTGTGCTGAAAAGAAGCAAGGTATGCCATGCCTCCCTGAAACAGAAACAAAGGAAAAGGGGAATATCAAGAGGCAAAGTCACACTCCTGATGTGACATCATGGCATGGTGCCATGCACTTGGATGCTATTTGTCTTGCAGTGGGCCTGGTGAGGGGGCAATCTGGCCTCATCCTGAAACTGCACTGCACCCCTGCCCTACAATGTTGGAATCATGTGCCCATAGCTAAGCTCTTGATAGGAACGACATTGTCACATGTTGCCCCAAATGAAGCTTCTGAAATGTCTTCAAGAGCAACTCCATGTAGAATGACTCATGGTGGCCTAATCTCAATGGTATGAACAACATTCAATAAATCTTCAGAGTCACAGCTTTCCCACCAGGTGGAGTTTGTAAGGAGGGATCCTGGTTATTAGAGCTTTAATGAACAGCGAAAGGTCCAGAACTGCCCCAGTTTTAAAATCTGAGTGATGGGAAAGAACGAAACCCTCTATAATGGCTGTCCCTTGCCACATGGCAAGGCTGGCTAACTAACATTAGGATCATGTCTCTTGTAGGACAATTTGAACATCTTTAGATGGGGAATAACAATTGAGTAACTGCTGAGGCCAACTAGTGCCAAGTTGCTTACATTTCCAGTTTCATTGTAATACAATCCGTAAAAACACATTACCTATCCAAAAGAGAAGAATAAAAATCTAATAGTGTGATGGCTGTGAATGAGGGTTGCAAAGGTTAGATGGAATCCAATGCCTCATGATGGCTCTTCCCCATATTATGACATTATACAATCACTTAATGCAAGTCAAGCCTTGCTATTAAAGCTTCTCAAACTCTGGACTAACACCTGTAGAAGGAGCAAATCTCACTTGTGATGGAACAGGATCTTCTAGGATGCAATCAACCTATTTTGGCAGCTACTAGAGTCATACAATTTCCAGAAGCTGCCATTTTCATCTCATGTAGAAAAAGCAATAAGTCTTATGGTCCAAAAAAAGCTTATGCTAGAATATACGTGCTAGTCTCTAAGGTGTCACAGGGCTCTTTTGTTATTGCAACTCTAAATAAGTTTTCCTTGTAGTGAAGACTGCACTAGAACAAGTCCTAGACCTTTGGGGATTTATCAGTTATATATACTATAGGCTCTTATTCTGTCTAAACATGCAAAGGATTGTGCCTCAAAATAATAATATATATTAATACAGCATTCCTTAATATAATTAAGCAAAGAAACTAGTAAATAAGAAAGCTATATATGAAGCACTGTACATTGCAAGGAAAATATAAAATGTAATTCTTATCTTAAATTCTAAACTCCTGACATGAACCTAGCGTCATCCTTGCAGATACCTTACATACAGTACAGAAGTCCTTCTCATGAGTCCAATCTTGCTCCTTTGTTCTCTTCAAATAATTATGGAAATTTTCAAAATGCTATCTTTGACTAGGTAGGACTGACTTTTCCGACCTGCTCCCTGTCTCTAAACAAAACGCATCTTTCATAGATCACAAAGCTCTATTACAATTTGAAGTTTCTCAACTGATAAGAACCACTTTGGTGGAAACATTCAAGTTCCACCTTTCTTCCAATGTCCACAATACCATTATGCAGCAGCAGCTCTGACTGCCTGCAGTACAATGTTAGAACTTTAGGAACTTTTGCTCTCTTATCCTTGTCTTTGCAGGGGGTCAGGGAAAAGGCGTACAATTCTCAAAGTTTTACATTTCTCAAAGTTGTTTTTCAATTTGATAATGAAAAGCAACTTTCAAATATTATAACAATTGTTCTTAATTACAGATTGATGAATAAACTAAATGCTAATTCTTCAATTTTAGAATTTCAGCAAGAGAAATGCATTCCTGTAGCATAACTAATACATTCATACTTAACAGCCATGTTGAGACAGATCTTTTGTTTCCACGTATGAAAAGCTAATGAATCCTGCTATAACTAATCATAGCTTTGTCAGTTCTAACAAAACAGAATCATGACATTTAATCACTCTACATTAAACAAAAGCATTTTATTATGGCATAGCTATTTCAATCTTGAAGTTCCAACTCTGTTAAGACTTCTTAGAGTAAACCTAGTCAGTCTAATTTGGAAATTAAAGGGTACAGTTGCAGCACTTCCAATCTCTGCCATCCAGACATGTAGGTCTGCTAAATTCCACCATGATCATATGGAACTATTGGGGGCTAAGCCACTCATAAAGCTAACTTGCACAGTGAACATAACAATTTTTCAAAGGAGATATGGGGAAAGGGATATTTTCTATCCCTCTGCTCTGCTCTGAAGCTGTAGTATACAAAGGTACCATTTACCCTAAAGCAGACAGGAAATTCTTTCAGAAACATTTCCATTTCAACATTTAAGATTCAATACGTTTTTATTTGGATCGGATGATCTTAATAAAACGCATTCTTAACACATTATTTCATATATTTATGCTACAAGTTTAAGAAAATTGAACTGTATGAAGCCCGTTAGGCCATTCACCCATGAACTGATAGCATCCCTCAATTCAACAGAGCCCCTATGTGTGATGCACAGAGACCACGAAGAAGAAAGCAAGCTTGCTATCTCCGACGCTGGAGTGGCGACTGACCAGCGGCTCCTGACATGAATGCGGAACCACGGGCAACAAAGATAGGCGAACTCTCTCCCAGCCCCCATTTGCTGTCTTCAAGAACCACTGGATCACTTAGCTTCCCGCAAGCTTCAATGAAAGAAACATCTTCCCCGAACTGAAAAACGAGAGGAGACTCCGCCATCGTTTCCTCTCTTCCCATATCCCGACTGAGCGAATATCCCAGAAGCTAAGAAGGCCAAAGTCCACAGGAAGCAGGACAGGCAAAAGATCCCCCCCACACCTCTCGGAGTTCAGGCGGGCAGGAGCAGCAGCTCCCACACACTCACCCTCGGTCACCTCCAACACCTTCACCTGTTCCTCAGCGGCGGCGCGCACTCCCTGCACCGGGCACAGAATCCCGTTCAGGGTCTCCACCAGTGCCTCCTTCAGCCCCTGAGCCACGGGCCCAGGCCCCCCGCCGGCCGCCGCCGCCGCCATTCCGCTGTGGCCCCCAGGCAGCGCCGCAGCGGGCGGGAGGAGAGATGCGGGCGGAGGAAAGTCCGCGGGAGAACGTGCCAGAGAGAAAAGGGGGAAAAGGCGGCACCGGTCGGCTTGTGGGCCTCGGCTGCTACTGCCGCCACCGCGCGCCAAACCCGCGCACAACGACGTGCTCGCACACAGAGAGCGGCGCCTGCGAGAATCACGCTGAGAGCGGTTCTCGAAGCGCGCCCCCTGCTGTCCATGTGGAACTTCCGTATAAGCAATTACCGAGAAACAAAAAAAAAAAGTTTTATAGTGAAGGAAAAGGATGGCCTTCCTGCGGAGCGCTCCACGCAGGCGTACACGGCGGGCGGATGTAGAGCATGGCAAGCGGATTACAGTCTTTTTTCCATTGCGTACATTTCGTTGGCTGTTGCTTGCTTATTGCAACATTTACTGCAGTAGGAAAGCACTTTCGGAGTGCTCCTCGAGCCCACTGCCTCACTCTTAGGAAGAACCCTGCTGAGCAAGGTATTAGGTAGTCACTCCGGAAAGCTCTGGTGAGTTCTGGCAAATGCGCTGGTTACACAGGCTGCCTTTCCTAAAATGCCTCACTTTGTGGAAGGACCCTTCAGTTAAGTATTGATGAGCAAGATCACCCAAACTGCTGCAGCTGATGTAGCAACAAAAAAGGTAGGGGAGGTCAAAGAGGTCGCTTGTCATGTCTCAGATGGCGTAAAGCATTGTGTGAGATAGGAATCAGTGCCAGCACAAACTCTCAAGCTGCTTGAAGCAGGAAAGCACATGTGCTGTCATCAGCCACCACCATCCCTCCGCATACTTATCATCTGCCTTTCTCTTCCTCTGCCCTGTCAGCCACATCTGTCTCCCACCCTATTTACATACCACATCATTATTGCTGCTGCTGCTTGTTCTGCAAGAAGACTGAACTCTCAAAAGGCTGACACAACTCTCAGATAGGCTGCCAGGCCCACATGTCAGGTTCTGGAGGTTTCTTTATTGGAACCAGGCATTCTGGGAGACAGGAATGACCCTGCGGATTGTCTGTATTGCAAGCAATTTTCAGGTCATCCTACCTCCCCGCAATGCCAGGCTCTAAAGAAGAACTCCTCAGAAGTGGACATTTGAGTCTAGGCACTTACTCGAACTATCTGTGCCAACTTTTTGGCCAACACAACTCTTCAGACAGTTTGGCTGGCTATTAGTTTGCCCCCAACATGATGCAGACAGAAAGAGCAAGAGACAGAGCAGTGGCAAAGGAGTATGGTGGTAGCCAGTCTTCAGAAGACTGGCCCTGGTAAGAATGTTATTGGTGATTCTATTACTATTGTGTCTTTCTCATAAGGTCTTGGTTACAAAATCTCCTTCCAAGAAGGCAGATATTCAATATGGAAAAGTCTGATCTCCAATTACATTTATGCCTACTATATAAAATTAATGGTGCAGGAAATACCTACCCAAAGGAAATGTGACTGCCAAGGCTGCAGCTGTAAATCAGTGTATTCAGGGACGGGAAATTCAATGTCTTTGACACAATTTCCTAAGGAGCCTGGCCTTCGGAGAACTGTATCAAGGTGGGGAGGGTGTTGCAAATATTAGACCATTCAGCTGATTTGGAAGTAAATACTTCACTACTTATTTTTTCTGGAGCAGATGCACATGAATACGTGTGTGCTGGGCAAGTATTTTGAAATGTCATGCACCCTCAAGAACTGTGCGGTGAGTTATCACAATGGGAAATGATACCTGCAGCTTGGCCATTGTTTGAACTGATAGTAAAAGACTGGGCAGATAGCCTATGGGACACATTGTAGTCTGGCATTATGCTCAGACTACATTGATAGTACAGAGGGTAAGTTATAGCTGAAAGCTAGATTGGGCAGGGCTGCTTTCTCGGGTTAGCTGAAAGACTATGCCTATATAAACACTGGAAGAGGACTAAAGGGGGTACATCATGTATCTTAGAGCAGCCACCTCAGTCTAATGCCCTCCAGATGTCTTGGACTACAATTCTCCATCAGGCTCAGACAGCACAACCAGTAGTCACAGACGTGCAGAGTTGTAATCCAAAACGCCTGAAGGCTACCCAAAAAGTCACCATAACCGTCTTCCCTTACAGCTAAAGGAACAAGGAGACTCCGAAGCACTGTTAATGTCAAAGGGAAGGCTGCTTGCCTTTTACAGAAGAAATATTTCTTGGAAATAAAGACAAAAACACGTAACTCATACTTACCACTCTGTCATCTTTTGTACAGCATTATGTCTCTAGGTGGGCTACCCAAATTGTGCTAGCTTGGAAAGTGATGAATAGCAACAATGTCTCACCATTTCAACAGTAGACCTGAATTGCCACTTTAAAATAAGTGTACCAAATTCTTTACCATTTGAAATTTCCCTTCATTGTAATCACTATGCTGTAGAATGGAAAAATGTAGCAATTCCAGAAGCCCTGCCTAAGTGGTGGAAAAGTAGCTGGACAAGGAAAGAAAAGATAAATATTGGTACAACTGGCCCCTCCAGCAGCAGCATTTTCTCTTTTACAGCAAAACTACTTTTTAAGCTCCATCCCCCTCATTACATTAGGATGAGATGAAGTGCTAAAGTACATGAAGAGGCTATTAAAGTAAGGCAGTTGTGGATGGATTCAATTATCATGCAACAGCATAGGTAAGATGTGCATTTTCTACAAATCCAACATACCCTATACTTTACTGTTTCCACTACAGATGGTTATATCAGATCATGAGCAGGGGCTAAATAATACACAGCAGTCCTATAGAATTCTTTGTGGGCTAGCACATTTTCTCAGCAAAAGTAGTTTGCTAGGCTATAGTCAAAATTAAATATACTAGTTTGCATCTGATGAGCAGAAAGTGGTCAGGTCTATGTCATGACACAATGACAAAAACTGTGCCTACAAACATCGAACACAGATGCATTATTTCTAGCAAGTATTTTACCAAGTGTCACCAATTTTATTGTCACTATTTTAATACAAGGTTCCTTAACTGGCTTTCTTGTGTAACCACTCTCAAAAAAGAAAACATTAAACAGGACACTGATTTGTATAGACCAGGAGTAACAAAAGGAGCACTAAACACGGCAATGTGAAACAACATACTTTTGTTACATAAGCACCTTGTGCTCTAAAACTGCTCAAGCAATTTTTTCAGATACCATTTTCATTATGATGTTCTCTAGGTAGTAAGAGGGCCTCAAGATCCAGCTTCAAGTAGGGTGTGAATCTTGTAGTGGACACAGTGTAAAATTAAGGTTCAAGTTTTTGTTTTCCTTTCCCTAATGAAATGCTTTGGAGCAAATTAAGTGCCTAACAGAATGAAATTCTGTAACACTGGCCATCCTTTCACCTACCTCCTCTTCTTACAGATAATAGTTTTTCTCTGACTTTCTCACCAAGAAGTAACTCAAGGCAAAGTGTTGTCCCTTTTCCCAAAAAACATGCATTTCTTTTGTAGGCAGGCTTAAAAAATTAAGGCAATATGGACTGAAATGAAAAGTTATTGGTTTGAAGAGACAGGGTACATCAAACAGGGTTTTCAAAGAGTTGAACTGCTTTAAAAGTAGTATCAAATACTATAATCTTAAGTTCATATAAGTGGATGAGCTGTGCTTTCTCAAGTTAAGTAGAATTTGTGGAAGAAGTCCATTTGTAGGTCACAGTAGAAGAAACACCACATTGCAGGAATGATTTTTAAAAAATAAATGGGAAGTGTAGGGGCTTCAACCTTTTGCCCTTGGTGGGTGTCCCATATCAAGGATAGGCTCCTGCACCTATGATCATAAGAAAAATATGCTACAATTGAAAACAAATGTTCCAAGATTCCTGCATGTAGAAAATGTGCCTCACATGTTTTAGAGCTGGCAAATATATCTCTGCCTCTTGCCTCAGACACAGATCAGAGCAGCTAATACAATAGCGTCTTTGTCCTTCTCTCACACCTGTCAAGAGCTTCAGGCTGTTTGCTTGTTCCTAGACTGCAGGAAGAACAAAATCTGGTTGTACAATCTGTCCACTAATGAGGACTAGAGAAGTGAGTGACATTATTCCATGAGGCGGCAGCACAAAAATGGAAGTCATTCTAATACACCTGATTCAGCAAGTAGCTGAGTATGAGCTTTGCAATCTTGCAAAAAAAATATAGCAAGGAACAACCTTCCAGTTGCAATTAGGGAATTGCCTAAATCTTGAGCCAGTTTGCATGATCAGCACAGTCCAGAATGGCTGATTTAAGCCATGATTGCTCTGCTTGCTCATCTGAATATTTGTTCCATAGCAGAGTTTGCCATGGTTTGCCATGTCATCCAAATCCAGCTTTCAGAGATTTGTTGGAGGGACAAACAACAACAGACTATGGAGGTGCTTAGTTCAGACTGCTGGCTCATCGAGCTCAGTGTCAAACAGTGACTGGCAGTGGCTCTCTTCAGGCACAAATTTTCCAACCCTAGCTGGAATGCTGGGAATTGAGCCTAGGACATTCTGCATTACTAAAGCATATGCTGTACCACTGAGCCACAGACTCTTAATGATATTTTAATGTAGATGCTTAAACAACATTTGGTTGTTTAGAAAGAGCTTCCACTGAAATTTTCTCTCCCCATTATTCATAAAGGTTTAAGTTTCCTTATGCATTCACTTTGGCTTGAGGTGAGGGGGTTATTCTTTTGCTTTGGAAATTTTGTTCTTTATATTATTATTTTCTGATGGTTGTTTAAAGCATTTTGGATTTGGTTTTACTGTATCTATGAAAAAATGTTAACAGACTGCAATGATGTGTGCTAACTACCTGTCCACACATTGTGTCATAACATCACTACCACCACTAAATTAGTCAAGACTTCCTGCTTAGTTGGCCTGGGGGAATGCCTACTTGCCAGTTAAGGGGATGTTTTTTCCTACAAGACAGATTTAATTTGTCTAGTATTAAGAAAAATTAGTCTGGAAATGCTTTAAAATGTAATGCATGAAAACACACACTATAAAACTTATCAGGGTGAGAAATGGTTGCAATTCAACTTCTGTGAAGACACCAGTATTTAATTTTGTAACATAACCAAGGGTTTATTCCACAATATAAACTGCAACATTTGATACAAGCTACCAAAAAAGAAGAAAAAGCCAAAATACAGCTGTGGCCATTACTTTACAGAACTTCCCTGTCTTCTACATCACTAGTCCATCAGTGATACTAGAACCTAAACATTTCCTTTCTGTACATTCACCAATGCTAAAAGCACCAACACGCTGTCAGAATTATAATTCCAGTCACTGAAATCAGACACAGAAGTTATTGCTCAGATAAATAAACCTAGTCTACAAATGAAATTTGGGGAGGGGGGAAATCTAAAATTTTCAAAAACGTTCAGGAGAGTAAACAGGGATTTCTTCAAAAAGAGGAATTATGGGGATTCTTAGTGCAGTGTTTTGCACCCAACAGAGTTGATTAAGTGTGCTGGTAAATTCCAAAGAGGTAATTGAATGCTATACATGAAAAGGTGCATGTTTGATGCCTTCCAAATT